GACTGCGAGGCCGCGCCGCCAGGGCGCCCGGCGAAGGTGGCGGAGGTGGTGGCCGCGCGGCTGTCCAGCTCGCTGCTGGGAGACCTCGGCGCCCAGGAGCGCCGAGCCCTCCTCGTCGAATGATGGGCCTGTATTCCACCACCACCACCATAAGTTGGGGGGGAGGGGGTCCTCCTCCTCCTCCTCCTCCTCCTCCTTCTCTTCGTCCTTCTCCTCGTCCTCCACCTCCTTCCCCCCTCCAACTTATGGTGGTGGTGGTGGTGGAAAACAGGCTCATCATCTAAGGGGGGAGGCGGCCGAAGGGGAGCAAGGAGGAGGCCAGGAGGAGGAGCCGAAGCGGCGGATGAGGAGACGGAAGCTGGGGCCTGGCATTAAGTCGGGCCTGTCCCTCTACAGGGGAATATCCAAAAAAGTCAACAATAGTCTGGGGACGATTTTTCGACTATGTTTGAGCATTTTGGTGTTTGCTTGGGGAATTTATGTCTTTCGTCCAAGATCCGCCTGCAGGGTGACATGCCCGACCTAAGCCTGGCGGCGCAGGCTCGTGCGCGAGGCCGCGGGGCGGGAGCGGGCCGCGGCCGTGCCCGCCGCCGAGCTGCGTTTTCGCCGCCCGCCTCTCCCGCCTCCCCGCTCCGTTCCTCGCTGCCCTGCTTTACCAGGTGCGGTCACGCTGTCTCTGCGCCCCCCCCAGTCTTGCTTTCTGCGTTGAGCGCCGTTCCCCCCAGTGGAGCGCCTGCCCCCCCCCCCCCCCCTGGGTCGTCCCTTGTCCCTCTTTCCTCGTGCTCTCCCGTGTCTCGGGGCTCCGCGGCCCATCGTGCTCCTCCTCTCGCGCCCGTCCCCGCCCTTCGTCGGGTGGTCCCTCGCCCTGGCCTGCTTGCTGGGGGGCGCGGTACCTAAGTCGTCGGGTTGTCGTGTCGAGACTCCGCGGGACATGCGGGGAATGCGTAGAGAGGCTGCGCTGGCCTCCGCGGGGCCGCCTGCCGGGCAGGGTCCGCGGGCCGTGCGCCGACGGCTGCCAAGAGGCACCGTCGCTGGCGCCCCCCAGTCGTGGGTTGCCGAGGCGCGAGCGAGGGGGTAAACCCACACGTTCTCCTCCGATCGTCTGACCTTCGTCGCAGCGGAGCGCCCACGCCCGCCCGCGAGCGTGCTCGTGGCGGCTGAGGGACCTCGGACTCTCCCCCCCTCTGGATGGGTGTCCCTCCTCCTCCTCCTCCTCCTCCTCCTCCTCCTCCTCCTCCTCCTCCCTCCTCCTCCCCTCCTCCTCCTCCTCCTCCTCCTCCTCCTCCTCCCCCCCTCCTCCTCCTCCTCCTCCTCCTCCTCCCCCCTCCTCCCCCTCATCCTCCTCCTCCTTCTCCTCCTCCTCCTCCTCCTCCTCCTCCTCCTCCTCCTCCTCCTCGTCCTCCTCAGGACCAACTCAGGGGGGGAACATCGGTCTGAAATCGGCGATGCAACGCCGATAGATCGGTGTCCCCCGACTGCGAAACCGACGTTCCGGGGTGGGCGCTGCTGGACAAGCGAAGGGAGAGGAGGAGAAGGAGGAAGAGGAGGAGGAGGAGGAGGTGGAGGAGGAAGATGAAGAGGAGGATGAGGAGGAGGAGGCGGAGAAGGAGGAGGTGGAGGAAGAGGAGGAGGTGGAGCAGGAGGAGGAGGAGGAGGAGGAGGAGGAGGAGGGGCGGGAGGAGGAAGGGCGGGAGGAAAAGGAGGGCGGGGGTGAAATGAGCGCCGCCTACGGGGGGACAAGAGGAGGGTGGGGGAGGGATGAGCGCCGCCTCCTACGTGCGCAGAGAGGGAGGGCGAAGGTAGGAGGACAGGGGGAGGAGGAACAATAGGAGGACGAGGCTCCTTACTCATTCCTCCACCCCGTGCCGCCTCGCTGATTCCTGCCCGTCTCCTCCGACCCCCTTCCTTCATACCTGTCTCCCTCCCCCCGTATGTCGCTTCTCCCTTTTTTCCTCACCCTCCCCGCCCACATTCTTGTCCTCCCTCCTCCCCTTCGCCTTGGTCCCGCCGCTCCCCTCGTGCTCCCTCCCCCTCCTGGTTTGTTGTTGCCGTCTGATCCTCCCTCAGCGTCCCTCCGTCTCCCTCGCCCCGCCTCCCACATCCCGCCCAGCATCGTTGCGACGATCCCCGACGTGCGCGTCTCTGCCCCGCGGGCTCCGTGGCACGAGCGCGGCTGAGCGCGAGTCGTCGCAGCCGATCCCCCCTCCATGCTTCCCGCACGTGCCTCCTGCATCTGGACCTGCCCTGCCTCGTGGAGCGGGGACCGTTGGGGGAGCTCGCCCCTGGGAGATTGGTATGTGCGCGTCCAATGACTCGCTTGACGCCCGCATTCAGGGTGGGTGGACTCTGCCGCCCTACGGTCTCCCCGCAACAAATAGATGTCCGCAGCTGGCTCTGGCGGCGGGACAAGCAAGGAGCAGGAAGGGGCACATTAGGGAAATCTTGGGTTCATCGATGGATGGGGTCGGTGGCATCGTTGGAGGGGCCCAGACGTAGTGAGCCCGACGAGGGTCAGGAGGAGGTTCACGTTTGGAGGTTGAAATGTGGGGGGGAAGGGAGACGGGCGATGGCGCAGGAAGAGAATTTCTGTTTAGCAGGAGGTAGAAGAGAAACGAATGGAGAAGGAGGATGAGGAGGATCTGGAGGAGTAGGAGGAGGAGGAGGAGGAGGAGGAGGAGGAGGAGGAGTGCAAACCCAAGACTCATCTACGCTATTGGAGCACACCCTCCCTCCAAGCCCACCCTTCATGGGCCCCTACAAGGGTTCATTTCCGCTGAGGAACCTGCCTCCTGTGGGAACCAACCGCTTGAAGACACTGAAGCGTACCAAAACGCCTTTCTCGGGACTAGCGCCACGGAACAACCCGACTGTTGCGCCGAACCATCATTTCCGGTACGTTGACCATGGGCCCGTGCATCTTTTGTAATTGTCTAAGACGAATGTGCGAGGCGCTAAAGCGAGAGCAATATTTTGATAACGGCCCACTCTGGATCAAACAAAATATCTGCACATGACTAACATGAGGTGCCCGGCGCTAAGGCGAGAGCCTCATTTTTTGAAAACGGCCCGCCCTCAATCCGTGCAACGTTTGTGCAACTGTTTAGGACGAATATGCGCGGCGCGAAGGAGATAACCACATCTTGGAAGCGACCCGCTCTCCATCTGTGAAGCTGTTAAGCTTCAGGGCCATACATGGTGAGGACGTCTATGCGAAAAGGCAACGATCATGATACTACTAATGATTGTGATGCTGATGGTGATAGTGGTGATGGCGAGAGCGATGGCGATGCCGATGCCGATGCCGATGGTGATGGTGATGGTGGTGCTGATAGTCGGTGGTGGTTAGCGACGGTGATCAGGAAGAGCAGGAAGAGTGGCAGGTGGAGGGGGAGGAGGAGGCGACTGCACATGAAGGACGTGGAGGGGGAGAGACTATCGAGGGGAGGACCAGGAGCAGGGAAGCCTGCCCGTCCTCGGCCTTCTCGCCCTTCCTCGGCCTTCTCGCCCGTCGCCGTGCCCTCCCCTCGCGCCCCCCCCCGGCCTCCGCGCCCCCGCCCAGCTGGCGGCCAGCGCGGACGCGGAGGCCGGTGCCGGCACTGAGGAGAGGCATGATGATCAGGATCATGATCATGATGGTAATTTGTTGTTTGCCATATTGGTGATGCTGGTGCGGTGGATGGTAATGGTGATGGTGATGTTTTTAGGAATTTGATGATGATGCTGATGCTGATGCTGATGCTGCTGATGATGATGATGCTGATGCTGATGATGATGATGCTGATGATGATGATCATGATGATGGTGGTGGTGGTGATGGTGATGGTGATGGTGATGGTGACGATGGTGGTGATGATGATGTCGCTGATGATGATGATGCTGATGATGATGTTGATGATGATGATGATCATCATGATGATGATGATGTTGTTGATGATGATGATGATGATGATGGTGATGGTGATGGTGATGGTGATGGTGATGATGATGATGATGATGATGATGGTGATGATGATGATGATGATGATGATGATGATGATGATGATGATATGATGATGATGATGATGATGAATGATGATGAGATGATGGCTGATGATGATGATGATGATTGATGATGATGATGATATGATGATGATGATGATGATGATCATGATGATGATGGCGGTGATGATGACTATCATCATCAGCAGCATCGTGGGGTATCGGCCGACTGGGGACGCCGAAACGGGCTTCAGCGCCAATGGGGGTCAGTCAATCTTTTCCGATCCCCTCTGGCTGGCCCGGGTCTGGGAGCTGTGGTGTGCCTGCCCTTCTTCCGCCCGCCCCCACTGACCCAGGTTATTGGGCGAGCTGTTTCTTGGCGGGACTTGGCTCGGGAGGTGGCCCCAGCTGGCCCAGGTCAGCGTTGACCCAGGCTAGAGTTTCAAACCGGGGGTGTTGATGCCATCGTTGTTATTGTTGGGTTGACGGCCAGACCTATGGGCCCCCCAGCCGCCACCTGCGGTACCAAGAAGCCGCAGGGTGGAAGCAATAGACAAAGACCGAGCGCCTATCGAGACCACAAGGAGGATGAGGCAGGGCGGCCAAAGGAAACAAACCCATATGCAGACGAGGGATGAAGGGTATGCTAATCGGTGCACAGGGGCCAAAACCCTCACCCTCTGGGCAGTAATAATTCTAGCGGATGTTAAAATGAAAAAACATGGACCCCCAAGAAGGGCGGCCGGCCTGAACGGTAATAATTTCGGCATGTAAGCCGTGGTACGTAGGCCGCCCAGACTCAGCACGTAGGCTTCGGCCTTGTGGACACAATGGCAGAACAGACCTGGAATAACATCCGTGGGCACAATCGCCCGACCCCAAGGTCTCATGGATAGACGCGTGCAGCTAAACGCAACTCAGAGCCCACTGAAGCCAAGAAAAAAACAAACCCGATAAAAGAACGCCCCCGCCCAGGAGGGGGGAGTGAACCGTTGCGAGGCAAGCCTGGGGACCCCGTGCCACGGGGAGGGCAGGAAAGAGGAGGGAGGAGGAGGAGGAGGAGGAGGAGGAGGAGGAGGAGGAGGAGGAGGAGGAGGAGGAGGAGGAGGAGGAGGAGGGGGGGGGACAAGGAGGAGGAAGAGGAGGAGGAGGAGGAGGAGGAGGAGGAGGAGGAGGAGGGGCACGGGGGGGAGCCCAGACCCTGGCCACGCTACGGGTAACACCCCCCCGGGGAAAGGACTCCAAGGAGAGGAGTGGGCTCCTAGAGTGTTGTCCTGGATTATCCGGGTAACCCCTACGAGACGCCATGAAGAGTGGCGGCCACGAAGGATCATGAAGCCAGAAAGCGAGACAAGTACAGAGCCCGAGAAGAGGTCGTGCGGTGATCAGGCGCAGCAACCTCCTGCCCCCAGAGCCCAAAGAGGGAGGGAGGACCCCAAGGGAATCCCAACGACCTCCCCTGGAACTCCGGGGTGTTGCACGTTCCCGCCCCGCCAGGAAGGAGCCAGGAAAAAAACAGGAAGAAGGGCACCCCCCGAAGAGGGAATGGGTTTGCCACCCCATGTTGAGAGCGTAAGAAAACATAATAGAAACCAATGAAAACCCAAAGAAAACCCATGATAGAGAAACCGAATAGGCAGAGATAACCATTAGAACAAATACACTCCTGGGGTGTTGTCCGGGATCACGCCCGCGTGGAGGACGACTTGCATCGCCATCCCATTGTTGATACCATCATCGGCCTTCTAAGCGATATGTGAAGGCCCGAGGCCGTAGCATCACGGAGGGAATGTCCAGGGGGGACAGAAAGCGGAAAAAACAAGCAAGGCATGAGGGGAGGGGGGTTGGACGAAGAGCCGAAGAGGGGAAGAGACGAGCCAGTCAGGTCTGGTCCAGCCCAGCATATGGGGCGAAGAGGGCCACGGGCCCAGGCAGGGTTGATGGTGATTTGTTGTTTGCTGATTTCCCACGTCGAGTCGCGGCAAACGGGGGAAGGGAGTGGGAGACAGAGAGACCCCGCGATCTGGCGACATGGACACACAACAGAACGTGATGAAACATCACGACCGGAGCGCCCGATCGCCTCGAGACAGACCGGTCTGTTAGAGCGAGCCAGGCGCCCGAGATGGAGAGAGCTGCCCGTCATGTTTCTTGTGCACGACGCCACAGTTGCAAGTGCCAAGGCAGAACCAGGCAGGCTTGGGACTAGGATGAGACCGTTCCAGATTGTTCGGCTCTCAGAAAGAGAGAAGCCCTCGAGGAATCCGGTCGCACGTGCCCGATTTTGTCCTTGCGGTAGATTCGTGTCGCGTCGGAGCGGCGGCGACGTTGGCGCCAGCGCTCCATGGTCGAAGGCCTCCGGCGGCCAGCATGTTGCCAGCATTGGCCGATTTGGTTGTTTGGCATTCTTGGCGGATCCAGCCGTGGCGACGTGAAGTTTCCAGGAGGCCCTAAAGAGGACGAAACACGTATCTCGGCCAGCCCTCCTCTGACCCAGGGAGCCCAGAAACGGCGAAAATCCTCAGGACCCCTTTCAGACGTCCTACGACGTGTTCTTGTCCTCACAGGGTGGCTCCCCCGAGGTTTGGCCCCTTCCCCAGGGACCAACTTCTCATCCCGAGTCGTTTCTGGCCGTGCCCGGGGCCTCGTGAGAGCCCCCAGAGGCCGACAAATCCCAAAGCCTTCTTGCTGCGCTCGTCGGCGGCGCGCCCTGGGCGAAGTGAGAAGGGGCGGGCCTTCTCAAAAGGCTCGGAGCCTCCCTGGCCTTTGAGAACTCTTCGGACCCTTCCCGTGGAGACGCCACAAGCCTCTCAGAAGGCAAGAGGGCCCCTCAGAAGCCCCGCTGCCCTCTGGGCAGGCCCTCTCCCTCTCGCTTCCCCCCCCCGCTCACCGCCGAGCTCTCCTGCTCGACGCGAGGAGGCCGAGGGGCCGCTCCCCCGCGGCGGCCGAGGCGCCGCTGCGCTCCGCCCCCCGGCCCCGCCGCGCCGAGAGGCGCGGGCCGCCGCCTGCACGTCGCGGCGGCAGAAGGCGGAGGCCGTGGTCGGGGAGGTGCGCGCCTACCTGCACGTCGAGGGTGCGCGCTGGGGGCCTCTCCTGGGGCCTCCTCCACCTCCTCCTCCACCTCCTCCTCCTCGTCCTCCTCCTCCTCCACCTCCTCCTTCTCCTCCTTCTCCTCCTCCCCCTCCTCCCCCTCTTCCTCCTCCACCTCCTCCTCCCCCTACCTCCTCCTCCTCCTCCTCCTCCTCCTCCCCCTCCTCCTCACTCCTCCTACCTCCCCTCCTCCTCCTCCTCCTCCTCCTCCTCCTCCTCCTCCTCCTCCTGGTCGGGTCGGGTCGGGCGGGTCGGGTCGGGTCGGGTCGGGTCGGGCGGGCGGGACATTGAGGTGTGGGGCGCGCTCGACCGAGCACGCGCGAAGCGGGCGGGTCTGGTCGGGCGGGCGGCGAGCCCAGGTCCGGGGGAAGGTCCGTCATGCGATCGCACACCTGGATCGGGGGGGCGTAGACTGGCGACAGGTCCCGCGTCCACGGGAAATCGCGGGTCTCCGCCGCCGGACGGGGCGGCACCGGCCGCAGTTTGGGGGAGGGCACCTCCCCCGATCCATGGATGCGGCGACCGCGCGCCATATCCATGGATCGCTAATCCATGTTCGCGCGCCCCCGAGTTTGTGTCGCGGATGCCCCTTCGCATCGCGCATCCATGCGGCGGCGTGTCCACGGGATCGCGTCCCACAGCCCAGACCGCGAGGGCGTGGACACGGATACTTTCGCCGCCCGCGCGTGGTCGCCAGGATCCCCGGTCCGTCGTGCTGGCACCGGTGGAGCGTGCCGCTCTTGTCAGCCACGCGCAGAGGGGGGTGGGGGGAGGGGGGAGGGCTTCTTACTCTTAGAAGGCGCGGGCCTCCTCTATAGATGTAAGGCCGGCGCCATCTAAGAAGGAGCCTCTTTCAAGAAGCTCTCTCCCCACGCCCCACCGCCTTGTTCGGCTACACGTAAGAGTGACCTTTCGCCGGAGTGACCTTTGGTGCGGGCCCAACGGGGTCCCCCGATCGCCGAACGCGCACCAAAGGTCACTCGACTCTTACCCGGGGTCATTCTTGCGTGTAGTCGACTTGTGCGCACCGCCGCTGGTGGTGCGCCCCCGCAGTCTGCAGGCGTGCGGGCGTCTCCGTGGGGGCCCTCAGCAGCTTCTTGCGGGCGCTCGCGCTCGCGGCTGTGCGCCTCGCCGAGGGGGAGCGCCCTCGGGGCGCCCAGGGCGTCCCGGGCGGCCGCCGGGGCGGCCCGAGTTGCGACCCTGCGGCGAGCCCAGGGGCGAATCAGAGCCCCGAATCATCAGGAGTAATTCGGGTCAGGGATAACTCGGGTTCGTTTTTCGGGAATCCAAACCCGAGTTACCCCGGATAACTCGGGCGTCCAGAGCCCCACATCATCAGGGGTAACTCGGGTCAGGGCTAATTCGGGTTCCTTTTTCGGGAATCCGAACCCGAGTTACCCCGGGCCCGACTTACCCCGGATAATTCAGGCGCCCAAGCGAAGCGGGAGGGGTGGCAGGCCTCCTCAGAAAGCGGCGGGGCTTCCCAGAAGCCCCGGCGCCGTCTGTCGAAGAAGAAACACGCCATTTACATAAATGTTTTGGCGCTCCGCGCGGATTTCTTGGATCCGCGCTGGGCCCCCGTCCCTGGCGCGCGGAGCGCGCCAGCGCCAAAACTTGATGTTTATATGGTTCTTCCTCCGTTAAGAAAGCGGCGGGTGGGTCTGGGGAACGTAAGACTCGAGTAAGCCGGAACTCGGGTTTGCCGACGTTTTCTGACGAGCACGTCCTGGCTTTTGACGACGCGGTTTTCGTGGAGTGTCTGCGGCGGAAACCCTCGTCAGATTTCAGATGGGGTTTCGTCATGTTTATGATAACCCCGTCAGGCCAACCCGAGTCCCCCTTACCCGTGTCTGGCGTCTCCCCTGAGGGGTGGCAGGCCTTCTCAGAAAGCGGCGGGGCTTCCCAGAAGCCCCAGCGCCTTCTGAGGAGCCGCCTGTGGCTTCGGAGAGGTCCCGGTTACGCGAGGCTTCTCAGAAGGCGCGCGGGTTTCTGCGAAGCCCCGCCGCTTTCCGAGAAGGCCTGCCCCCTCTCATTTCCCCCGCAGGCTCGCCGCCGAGTCTGGGAGTCGTCGAAGAAGGATCGAGGGCAACACGTTATGCGGGGGATAGGTTCAGGGTGGCGGGGTGCGTCGACCCCCAATCGCCTATCGATCGCCGATAGGGGCCCGATACCCCACCCCGCCCAGGGACCTGTGGATTCACAATTGAGGGCCTGTCGCCGATCTATCGGCGATGCATCGAGGAAATCCAAGGCGAGACTTCCTCCCCTGAGCCGGTGCCCCCAGACCGCACCCCCTCATCCACGAAGAAAGAAAGCGGTATACACGCAGGCTTTCGGAGCTCCCCCCAGTTTCTGGCAGGATGGTTGATGGAAGATCCATGCGAGGTCGTCTCGCTCAGCCTTGAGGGTTTACGCTATTTTTTTTCCTCCTCCTCCACCTCCCTCCTCCTCCTCCTCCTGCTCCTCCTCCTCCTCCTCCTCGTTCCCCTCCTCCTCCTCCTCCTTCTCCTCCTCCTCCTCCCACTCATCTCCTCCTCCTCCTCCTCCACCTCCTACCTCCTCCTCCTCTTGCTTCTTTCTCCCTCCTCCTCTTCCTGGTCCTTTCTCCCTCCTCGTCCTGTTCCCTTCTCCTAGTCCTCCTCCTTTCTCCCTTGGCCGCCCGCGGTGGTTTCAGTTGTGTGGGCAGCCTGGCCACAGGGAACACATATAGAAGTCTGCAGTTCTGTTCGTTCTCCGAAAAAGGTTTTGTGTTTTGTTTCCTTTGCAGCTCCCTTCCTCCTCGCCTTTTCCTCCTCCTTGCTCCTCCTCCTGTGTTTTGCTTCCTCATCCTCGCCTTTTCCTCCTTCCTAGTCCCCCGCCGCCATTGGTCCCGAGTCTGAGGCCATTGCAGGTTTTTGCCGTCTTCGCTGCGGAGATTCGTCGCGCTTCCATTCCCCACAGCTATTCCCCGTCTCCTCCCAGCATTGCTGCATTGAACAAGTAGCACTGCTTAGCGCAGGCGGGATGGGCGGGGTTGCAGCAGCTCTCTCCCACCTCCGCAGCCATTTGCCACAGAGGCCCCACAGAGGTCTGGGCTAGCGGCGAACTGCGGACTGGGAAAAACGTCATCGCCATTGAAAGGTTTGGGGACCGATTTTCAGCTGCTGTTGTCTCATCTCGCCCTTCAGCGACGCCGAGAGGGGTACCCCGGTAACTGACGGGGGCCTCGGCAGCGCACAGGAGGGAGGCCAGAACGTGGCGGGAATCGAGGAAGAAGAAACTACAGAACCATAAGTTTGAAGAGGTCCGCTGGATTTCTCGGATGGGCGCAGGACCTCCCTGGCACGCACCACGTACCTGGGAGGGCGATCCAGCGCCGATCAAAGAATTCCGCGCGGATCTCCGAAAGTCTAGGTTGTAAGCACTGTCGTGGTGCACAGAAGGCGCACCTTCCACTCTGGGGCTGGTCCAGAGAGTCCTGAAGCCCGATATTGAGGATGCTTCGCAAAGGCGCCACAAAAAGTAGAGCCCACCCCCACCTGCACCCCCGACCTCCTCGGGGGAGGGGGGGTGCCCAGGCGGAGCCGGGGTGTGCTCTCTTTGTGCTCCCCTGCGGGACGCAGCAGGGGTGGCGCGGGAAAGCGGAAGGAAAGCGCCAGCTTCCCGCATCGATCATGATGGGCCTGTTTTCTACCACCACCACCACCACCACCACCACCACCACCACCACCACCACCACCACCATAAGTTGTAGGAGGGGGAGGAGGAGGAGGAGGAGGAGGAGGAAGGAGGAAGAGGAGGAGGAGGAGGAGGAGGACCCCCTCCACCTCCAACTTATGGTGGTGGTGGTGGAAAGCAGGCCCATCAGATCAGTCTCCGCCTGCCGAGTGCCCCGTCGGAGGGTTGCCGAGCCCGTCCTGCGGCCGTCCAGGCCCTCGCACCGGCAGTGCCCAAGGCCCAGTACCAGATGGCAGAAGCTTGCCCAGCAAAATCAAGTCGGGCCCGTCTCTCTACGGGGGGGATCTCCAAAAATTGTCAAAAAATAGTCTGGGGACGATTTTCGGTGTATTTTTAGATGTTTGTCCAAAATCCCCTTGTAGGGGACATGCCCGACCTAAGCCCAGTGCCAGATGGCAGCACGGGCTCTTCTGGAGGCTGCCCAGCAGGAAGGGCGTGCCCAGGCTGCTGTGTGGGCAGCCATCGACCGGGCGAGGCAAGCACATCGCGATTCGCCTCTCGGTTTCGTCGTGTCCGACCGCGTGTGCGAGATCGGTGGGCATTGTGAGGCTAACCAAAGACGAAGACGAGTCCCGTAGTGTGTTGAGTCCCCAGTAAGCTCTACTTGGGTGTTAGCTCTCGTTGCCGGGTATTTGCTCACGTGTACGCCTGTTGTGCTCTGAGAAGGGTTGAGCATGCGCCGTACAGTAGGTAAATCCTTCTCGTGCTCACCGCTTCGTCATCCACTTCCCCCTGCTCCAGGTCAGCGTGTGTTCCTCCTGGTCCTCCTCGCTCCGTCCTTCGTCTTTGCTTTGCGGAGGGCTGTTCGGGGCGAGGGGACGGGCAGGCGCTGCATTTCCCATGCGCCCTGAACGGTTCCCTCCACACTCCAGCACGGGCGCCTCTGTCTTGCTCGACTTCTCGAGCAGCACCGGGGTTGGCCCCCACGCCAGGCGCCAGTCTTGACCTTCTTTGGTGAAGCGCTGGCCCTCCTTCTCGTGCCTCAACACCTGACATCCGACGATGTGACTCTGTCAGTATGAAGCCTTCCTTGGGGACAGTTTGTCGCCCCAGACCGTAGATGGGCTAACGGCGATGTAGGTAACGGCGATGTAGGTTTCGGTAGTGGGAACTCGCTGTGTCGTGCTCACTCGATGCACTCGCAGATCTGAAATGTAGGGAAGTGTGGTTCGCGATTTGCTGCAACTTGGTTCCCAACATCACCGTTCAGCAACGTCGCCGTCAGCCGGGCCCTGGCCAGAGCCGTTTCTGATGGCCCGGGCGCTTCGGGGCCCGGGGACGCCCCCCCCGGAGGCGGAACAGCCAGGGCCGTCGGAGCCGAGGGCCCCCCGCCCCCCCCCCCGCGTCCTCCGCCCCATCGGGCCGCCGCCAGCCCAGAGCGCTTGGGCCTCGTGTGGCGGGGGCGGCCCGTGATTCGGGCGACCGCCTCGCACAGCGTTCGCCTAGAACTCCCAACTGGGGTCCGCGTAGACGGGGTCGGAGGATCGAGCCGCATCCCCGATGCATCGCCACTGCGGCTCGATGTGGAGCCCGATGTTCTCCACGCCGACGTCACCGATGCATCACTGATGCATCGCCGATGCATCACCGATGCGGTGCAATCCTCCGACCCCATGTGCCCGGACCCCATCTAGGATGCCTCTGTGTGGATGGGCTATCGCAGGGCGCGAGCTGAGCGTGGTGTTGCGATTGCGTGGGCCGTTTGCCTTCTGCTCTCGCTCCGCCTCGACGGCGGAACGAAGGGGCAGAGCGAGGGCAGAGCAGAAGCAGAGTGACAGCGGAAAGCGCCGCTCAGCTCACGCCTCAGCCCTTGGCCCTCCCATCGCTCGTCCTGCGCCCTGCGCCGTCGGGGTGCTGCCCCGCTGCAGGCACGGGCGCCTCGCACGACTGCCTCCAGTGGGCGGTGGGCCTGTGCTACGGGCTGCTGCACACCCTCGCGGCCCTGGAGGCCGCCGAGGGCCCGCCCCCGCAGGCGTTGGCCGCGCAGGCCCGGCCGCCCGCTCGTCCCCTTTTGGGCGTACCTCGCCTCCTCCTCCTCCTCCTCCTCCTCCTCCTCCTCCTCCTCCGCCTACTCCTCCTCCTACTCCTCCTCCTCCTTGTCCTCCTCGTCCTCCTCTTCCTCCTCCAATGGGGGAGGACAGCGAGAGCTGCAGGAAAGGGGCCCAGGGGCCCTGCGGGCCCCAGGGCTGTCAGGGAAGGGAACGACTCGGGATGAAGATCTCGTCCTGGGGAGGGGGGCCTGGGGTCCAGGACCCGTTTCCCACAGCACGCGTTTCCCCACTTCTAACCCTTCGCGTCGTGAACAAATCCACAGAAGGATTCGTTTAATTCGTTGCTGGGTTGACCACCGATCGCGTTGCTTTCGGAGCCTCCTTGCACGATGCTTCCTGTGCAGCGGGCTCTTCTCCATCTTTGATCAGGGGCCCGTCTCGTATTCCCCGGTCTTCGTCTTCGGGCCTCCTCAGTGCTGCCAGAGAAGGAGAAGGTGGAGGAGGAGGATCAGGAGGAATATGAGGAGGCGGAGGAGGAGGAGGAGGAGGAGGGAAGAGGGGGAGGGAGGGGAAGGAAGGAGTTGCAGGACAAGGGGGGTGTGGGAGAAGTAGAGTATGGATGATCAATGGGCTCGCAGGCTCGCGCCGCATCGCCGATGCATCGGCGACGAGCGCGATCTGGAGCCCGATCTTCTCCGTCCCGACGCCGCCGGTCCCCGGTTGAGGCATCGGCGATGCGGCGCGACCATTCGACCCCATCTGGTCTGACTTCCGACAACCTTCGGGATGCCTCCATCGTTTGCTCGCCGCCTTCCTCCGCGGCGTGCGGAGGAGTACGCGAGGCTCGTGTCCGCCGTGAACAGCCTCAAGGACCGCCCCGAGCGCCGCCGTCAGATGTTTGGTTTGGTGTTGGCTTCTTGGGCGTCTCCGCGGGACGCTCGAAGGCCCTTTCAGGGCCTTCATGGTGCATCGTGGAGCCTCCTCGGAGGACATCTGCGCGATCTTGCGCCACCTTGGAGATGAGACGGCATCCCGGGTTAGCCTCGGCCAGCTAGTAAAGTCGCAGGCCGTAGTTGACGCTCCTTCCCGCGCGAAGCCACGTTCCAGCTTCTCAGGGAGGGCAATTGGAGGGAGGGGCACGCGACTCTCCGAAGCGAGAGGCCGTGTCGTGGAAGCGCTGGTGCCCGCAACCACCTGTGCCCAGATGGCTGTGTAGGATCGGGTCGACAACTGCGCGGATCCTCCGCAGCCGCGGCGCCAGGGGCCAACATCTTGCACCTTGTGGGTTGGGCTTCTGGCCCGACACGGTGCACACCCCACATCCCGCGTCCCGTGCATCGCCGACCCTTCTCCCGCTGGCTCCTCCATCTTCACCTCGTTTGCCAGACCTGCTTCTCCCGCAGACCGTTTGCAGCTTGCATCGCTCTTTCGGGTCCACGCCACCGCATTCCTCCTCCCTTACCTTCGGTTCGTTTTCTTCCCCGCTTTCCTCCCCCCTGCCGCAATGCTATCTGATTGCTCCTACTTGTCGTCCCTGGTGCTTCCCCTGCTATCCCAAGTCCTCCTGCTTGTGATCCTCTTCTTTCTCGTCCTGCATCCTATTTTCCCTCTCTTCCTGCTCGCCCGCCTCCCACGCATTCCTGTCCTCCGCCGCATCCCACCTCGCCTCTCCACCCTACTCCGCGCGCGCGTGCCAAAACAAGCAGCGGGTGCACCGCGCGGTGCGGGAGGAGGAGAAAGAGGACCAGGAGCAGTAGGAGGAGGAGAAGGATGAGGAGGAGGAGGAATAGGAGGCGGAGGGGGGAGAGAGAGAGAGAGGGAGACAGCGGAGGAGGGGGAGCAGGCGGTAAAGCCAGGGAGACGGCGGAGCAGGGTGAGGGGGAGGTGGTTGGGGGCGGGGGGGAGAAGGGCCGGAGTAATCAGCCTTGGTCCTCCCCCCCACGCCCCGCTTCCTTTTCCGTGGCTGGCCGTCCCGGCGGACGCCCCGGTCGGCGTTCCCCAGGAGTGTGCGGAGAAGCTGCGCGGTGCGGCGCTCCTGGGCGACGAGCCTGGGCCAGGGCGCACCGCGCGCGCGGGAGGCGCGGGGAGGGCGGTCCTTTCGGAGCGGTCGGCCGGTCTGGGCTGATGGAGGGCGAGGGTCGCGAGGGTGGTGGCGATGCTGATGAGGAATGTGATAGTGGTGCTGATGATGGTGGTGGTGGTGATGATGGTGGTGGTGGGGATGGTGGTGGCGGTGAGGATGGTGGTGGTGATGATGGTGGTGGTGATGATGCTGTTGGTGGTGGTGTTGATGGTGGTGATGGGGATCTGTAGATGTCCTTCGAACCGTATCTTTTTCCAAGTGGTACTTAGTGGCATCTGGTGTCCATGCTCCTTTGCGCGCGGGGGAAGGACCGCGACATTTGTTGCCTGCACCCAATTCCGGTCCCAGCGCGGGGCACTTTCCCCGGTGCATGGGCCGCCTTCGGCGCGGGGCGGCGCCAGGAAGAATCAGCTGCATGTTGCCGAAAACTTGACACCTCCCATTTGCAGTCCCTTCTTTCGTCCAAGCCCAAGCCGATCTTCGCAGCCTCTGTGGTCGTCGTCGGTCCTCGCCGTGACCTTCCCGGAGTATTCTCGGCGCGTGCAGTCCGTCTCGTGGTCCTCGGGCCGTCAGAGAAGACTTAGGGTGAACATCGGGTCCTGGCCGAAAAAGGGGTCGGGGCTCCTGGGGCTTCCCGCTTCGACAAATCAGGGCCTCGGACGGATCTTTATGCTTGGGTTGGGCATGTCCCTCTATAGGAGGGATGCTCAAAAACAGTCAACAAATAGTCTTGGGACGATTGTTCTACTTTTTGTTTGCAATTTGGGGGGCACGCTCTGATTCTTTTTTCAAACAAAAAAAAAACGTCAAACATCCGCCTGCAGGGGGACACGCCCGACCTAAGTTTATGCTCCTGGAGCCTCTTGGGTGGCCCTCGCGGCCGCGGCCGGGCGCAGTCCGGAGCACCCAGGCCCCGAGAGGGGTCCGGGGCACGAGTCTTGACCTGAGGCAGGGCTGGACCCAAAGTCAGGATGCTCCAACCCACTTCAGCCTCGATGACCAAGCACCAACAAAGGACCGAAGCTCGAGGGTTTTCACGTGTCGAGCCCTGGGAGACACTCGTCCGGCACTGTTTCGACACTGTTTCGACGCTTTTCCGGGTGCTCGAAATTGATTCTGGGATGTGGTCCTTACGTGCGATGGGAGCAGCGTAGACCTACACGTTGTTTTAGGTTTTCACGTGTCGGGCCTTGGGAGGCACTCGTCCGGCACTGTTTCGACACTGTTTCGACGCTTTTCCGGGTGCTCGAAATTGATTCTGGGATGTGGTCTTTAAGTGCGATGGGAGCAGCGTAAACCTACACGCTGTTTTACTGGACTTCGGTTGTGTTTTGTTTTTCTTTCGGGGAGGAAGATACAGGAAAACAGGCAGAGCAAACCGAACAACGACACGAAAGCAAAACGAAAAGCAACGTTCAGGTCCAGCCCCGACGGGAGTCGCTGTTTCTGTCCAGGCGACAGCGCTCGCGCGCATGCTCTCCAGCGGCGAAGTATCGCAGCTCGTGCTCCTGGCGTTCCTGGCGTGCTCGATCCGATCCGATTCTGATATGCGGCAGGATGTTTGCATGGCGTTGTTTTGCATCTTGGCGCGGCCGATCCGAATCCGTTTCGGCCCCGCGCCGATGCAGCCCGAAGCGATGCACGTTCGCATCCGATCCCATCTATCGATTCGACGTTGACTGCTCCGTGCAGCGTCTTGGTAGGCAGCAAGCCAGACTAACATGCGTGTTCTGATCAGCCTGGCCGTGCTGCAGTTTCCGGCCGAAACGGGCTCCAAGTGTTGTTTGTTGCTTTAGATCATTTGTCCTCATGTGTTTGCGTTTGCCTCGTGTTTTACCTTATGACCATGCGTGCGACAGCTTCAGCAGCGCAATCCGCCCGTCAGGAATGTGCTTGCCGAGATGTCTACATGACCTACTCCGAAGCAGAGTTCGTCCAGCGCGGTACTCCTTGGGTTAGTTCGGGCTTGTCCCTCTACAGGAGGAATATTCTAACATAGTTTTTAAAAAGGTATGGGTACGATTTTTCTACTATTTTTGAAAATGTTTCAGCATGTGTTTGATATTTTTGATTTTTCGTCCAAGATCCGCCTGTAGGGGGAAATGCCCGACCTAATCCCTGGGAGAAGAAACGAACAGGCAGTGGGCTTGGGCAACACCGACGCACCGTCTCCTGGCCCCGGGCCCGCGAGGCTCGCAGCCGTCGGGGTGCCTCGCCGGCCTGGCGGCCGCGCTGTGGCGCGGCCAGGGCCGCTGAGCGGGCCGGGGCGGGGCGCAGCCCGGGGGGGCAGGGAGGCCACCAGAGGACGGGGCACCTTCATCGGAGGGGCGTCTCTCGTCCGCTCTGGGCCTCCCGGAGGCTCCTCGTCCCGGCGGCGAGCCCAGGGGGGGGAGTGAGGAGTGTTCGAAGCCTCCCCCCGAGGATGCCAGAAGCCTCTCACAAGGCCAGAGGATTTCCGAGAAGCCCCGCCGCCTTCTGAGAAGGCCTGCTCCTTCTCGTGTCCCCCCCCTCGCTCGCCGCCGATCGTCGCCGCGGGTGGGTCCGCCCCGGAACACGGGTCACGATGGACCCCAGGCGGAGTCTGGGCACGGATTTTGAGCAGGCTTGCCGTTGTCTCAATTGGCCCTCGGGATTTAGAGCCCACCGTTCCGATTCGATGTCTTCGTCGGCTGGCCCGATCCACTTCGAGGTCGATCTCCCGCCGGTTCGATCCATCCGATGCGGCCCAGTGCTCGCACAATTTGCGCATTTTCGGGGCGCAGCAGGTCCGATCCGATTTCGGCCCTGCGCCGATGCAGCCGGATCCGATGCGTGTTCTGGTCCGATCCGAGTATCGAGGTCTTTCGACCTCTGGGGGCCGGCTTCGGGCCCAAGGGCCGCCAGAGATCGATCCGGGACGAGAGAGCGGCCAGGGTGGGCCTGGGAAGGGCCTGCAGTGACCGATATCTCCTCCGAGGGTGTCGGTCGGCACGGGGGCGGAGGTTGCGGAGGGCAGCGCCGCTGGGGGTCGGCCGATGCTCTCGGGCCGAGCCAGGCTGGGGGAGCCGCGCGGAGCCAGTCCTCCCCTCCCGGCACTCCTTCAGGAGGGAGGGAGGTCGAGGTGCGGAAGCCTCCACGCACGGGGCTCCGGAGGCCTCTGGAGGCTTGCGAGTGGGCACCTCCCCGGGCACCCCCAGGGGCTCATCGGGAGGATCGTGGAGGAGGGCGAGGGAGGAGGAGGAGGAGGAGGAGGAGGAGGAGGAGGGGAGGAGGAGGAGGAGGAGGAGGAGGAGGAGGAGGAGGAGGAGGAGGAAGAGGAGGGTGGTGTGTTTGAAACTGCGGTTCAGCGCCAGGCGAGCCCAGGGGCAGAAGCAGTGTGGATGGAAGGAGGCAGGAGAGAGGAGGAGCTTGGAGCAAGCACAGAAGGAGGAAAGGGAAGGAAGAGGGAGGGAAGTGGGGGAGGACGGGGGAGGAGGCCGAGCCCGGTTCGTCAGACGATGGCTCAGCGCTAGAGCTCATGTTGGAGGCGGAGGGCGGCTGGCAGCCTCCTCCTCCTCGGAGACCGCATCCTGCCCCCGCACATCCCCCGCGAGGAGTGCGGAGCGTTAAGTCGGGCATGTCCCTCTTCAGGGGAAGTATTCAAACATCGGCAAAACATAGTCTGAGGACGTTTTTAAAATTATGTTTTGAATATGTTTGGGGCATGTTTTGACTAACTGTGTCTTATTAGTCGTCCAAAATCCGCCTACAGGGGGACATGCCCGACCGCAGCGCAGCGGGCAGTGCCGCGCAGAGGGGGCCCCCGGGCCCTCGCGGCGCCGCGCGGCCCGCCGCCCGTGGCGCTCTGCCGCCCGCCGCGCCGGGGCTCGGCCCCAGGCGCGGCCAGATTTCCGCGCTGCGCCCGCCCGGGTCGGGGGCTGCTAATCTCGGGCGAATCGCCGGCGGCGATCGCAAGCACGGATGTAAGGGGGCGTGGATTAGCGACGGGTCCCGTTTCCACGGGGACTCGCGGATCGTCGCCGCCGAGCGAGGCGGCATTGGCCGCATGTTGGGGAGGGCACCTCCCCCGATCCATGGAGTTGGCGACCGCGCGCCAAATCCATGGATCGCTAATCCATGTTTGCGCGCCCCCGATCATCCCCCTCGCGTTGAGTGAAAGCATCACGGCGAAGGTTTTTTGCTATTTTCGGCCTCTGGGGGCCCTTACCAGGCCTTGGGGCCGTGAGAGAAAGACTCGGGATGAGAGATGGGTCTCCAGGAAGGGGTCCAGACCACTGAGGTTCGGCGTTGCGAAAGAAATCACGACGTCGGGAGTCTGGGAACCCTGACTTTCCAGGAGGGTTACACGATAACACCAGCATGACGACATCTAGAGTCGAGTGGAGGTTTGAAGCAGTCCGGACACGTCTATATGGGTCTGGAGGGCCATTATGTAGCACTCTGGAAGGTCAGGGAAAGGTGCCCCCTGGCCCAAGGTGCCCCCAGCTTCTCGCTCGACTCTGGAGCCCCTGGGGCCCTCTGGGCCTCGGACGGGGTGCTCTGGAGGCCGCCTGGGCCGCCCCGGGACTCCTGGTGGGCACCCTGGGCCAGGGGCGCTTCTGGCAGCACCCGGCCAGGGGGGCCTCTTGGTCTCCACAGCGCAGGAAGTGAATGTCCCGAAGACCACGGTCTCGGCACCCAGGGGGGTCCTGGAGGAGAGGTGCTCCTCTTTGAGAAACGGTACCAAGACCGCTGCCTTTAAGTCTGGCGTGTCCTTCTACAGGAGAAATATACAAACATAATCAAAACATAGTATGGTGACGATTTTTAGTTTTGTTTTGGTGTAATATTTGAATATGTTCCGATGGTGATGATGATGTTGATGCTGATGCTGATGCTGATGCGGACGATGATGATGATGATGATGATGATGATGATGATGATGATGATGATGATGCCGATGATGATGATGCTGCTGATGATGATGATGATGATGGTGATGGTGATGGTGATGCTGATGATGCTGGTGATGCTGATGATGCTGATGATGCTGATGATGATGAAGAACATGATGATGACGATGGTGATGATGATGATGATGGCGGTGATGATGGTTATGATGGTGATGATCATGTTGATGATGATGATGATGATGATGATGATGATGATGATGATGATGATGATGCTGATGATGCTAATGATGACGATGACGACGATGATGATGATGATGATGATGATGATGATGATGATGATGACGATGCTGATGATGATGATGATGATGATGATGATGATGATGATGATGATGATGATGATGATGATGATGATTATTTATAGTATTAGTTTGAACAATTTTTCGCCCAAAAGCCGCCTGTAGGGGGACATGCCCGACCTAACGCTACCCTCCCCTCGTTTTCTCCTGCTTGGCCCTCCTTGGAGGGCCTCGTCGCCACCGCTGGGTTTGCCTCGAAGCCTTGGTCAGGACGCACCCCAGGAGAGGTCCGGGGAGTAGCAGCATCGGTACCTTTTTGGTTTCCCCACTATGGGCCCGAGGATCTGAGCCCCGGCCCCTCTCTCTCTCTCTATATATATATGTATGTACACCCTCTCTCTCCCTCTCTCTCTCTCTCTCTATCTATATATATATACACATTTATATACCCACCACAAATGTATGCTCACACACACACACACCCTCCAATGGATTGTTCCTGGGCCTCAGGGGGCGGCTGCGGTGCAAAAAACACCACTGAGAGCCAGCGACTTGATACGCCGCCGCCCTCTCTGAAGGTACATGCAGCTTTCGTCGGAGGGTGCCCGTGTGTGTGTGTATATCTATATCTGTACCTATCTCTATATATATACACACACACACTCTAGTGGCGTGCTATAGGCCCCGGGAGCGTCAAGAGAGCGGCTCGGGATGCGGAGCCCCTCGGATCCCCCGGTCGACGCACGGAGCCTCGTGGCGTCGCTGCTTTTGCTTCCGTCCTCGGCATCTGCAGGCCGGGCCCCGGGGCCGCCATGCAATGATTTAGTCAGTATCGTCATAACCGACCCCCATGCCCGTCCCCATCCCCTTCGAGACCCCCACCAAATGACCCCCCGGTTGGGGATACACCCTCGAAACCCGAAGGGAGCGGCCTATATCCCCATCCAGGGGGGGTGAATCGGCCAGTGGGGCCCAGGCCACGCCATTGGGATGGGGATCGGTTAAACGATACACACTCAGGACGAAAAGCTGGCCCAGGGCAGAGGGCGAGATCCCCGGGGACCGTCGCCACGAGACAAAAGACTACGTCGGAGGAGGGCCTGGTCCCCGTGAAAGCCCCCGAGGCCCTTCGCACCGCGATTGAAAAGCACGCACTTCCACGGCCTCGCGGTCCCGACACCTCGGCCTGGCGGCCTCGCGCAGATGCCCCGCGCGTGGCGTCACCGTGGGATCGCACATCGAGTGCACCGTGCTTCGATATCCAGACCGCGAGGACATGGAAATGGACATGCTCGTCGACCGTGAGGCTAGGACCCTTTGTCCACCAGGACCCCTTTCCCGTCGAATACCTCGTGCAAGCTTTGATTTTGGCGCCCGGGGTGTCCTCCACTGAGACCCCGCGCGTGTTTGAAGTTGCTTTGACGCGGCCATAACAGTCCAGCTGTCGCGTCGAGCTTTTCTTCTCGGCGGTCGCCCGCATCCGCGTTCGCCGGGTGCGGCCACGACGCGAGGCCTCATTTGCGAGGCAGTTTTCGTCGCGCCAGGTGTCTTGCTGGCACCTGTAAGTTTCTCGCACAGCTTGGAGAGCAGGGCGCCGCGTGCAGCACCAGATGTTTCAGACATGAGGGCCGTGATGAGCATCAGGCGAGCATTCTTACTTGCTTTGCGGGAAGTCGTTCACATTCATGTCTTCTCGCTTCGGGGGTGCGATTTTGTCATCATCTTTGGTCGAGGAGGATGGAGTCAGGAGGACGCAAGAGGCAGGTGGCAGAGGATAGGGAGGAGGAAGAGAAGGAAGAGGAAGCGCTTGAAATGCCTCCACTCTCAAGGTGATTGTTCTTTCTTAGGCTCCGGGGGCAACTCTTGTTCACCACCCGCGTGTGAATCCTTGCAGCTTCCATGGGACCCTGTAGGGACCCCATACAGCATACAGGTCCTACGGATTCTAACAGGGTTCTCTAGAGGCACCCACTGAAGTGCGAGGAGGATTAGGAATCGGAGAAGGATGAGGAGGAGCAGGTGCATACGGCTGCTGTGGTGGGGCGAGCATCGTGTTTTACACCGGCGCTACGATACGCGACGGCATTGC